AGATGGCTGTTACTCACAAGCTCCTGCATTTTTGTGCGGTAAAACTCAATCTTTTCTCTAGAATCTAAAATCACCCTCTCTGGTTCATCAACCTGCCAGAATGGAAAAGACAAATTATTCTTTATATTCCGTAGAAACATATTTTGATAATCAAAAGGTACAAAGATATAACCCATAACTTCAAAGAGGTAATAATGTGTTGAACCTCAAACTCTCACTGAACTAAAAGAGAATAACGGAATAAGAAAATTTGACATTTTAATTCTCAGCACTCTCAATATCAGACACTAATCTTCAGACCAGGTTCTCAACTAAATGGTAAGAGTCTTTGGGAGATTGTTCCAAATAAGCACACAATGATGAATAAAACCTGATGAGAATACCTTATGATCTCTTCCAGTCAAAGGAATATTACTCTTGAATTAGATACAATGGTCTCAGCAATGAAACCCTATTAGTAAAAAAGTTTAAGACTGGTATTATTTATTTGCTGACATTTTTCTGCCCTTATCTTTAAAAACTCTACCCACTTGAAGAACAGAGGAGTCAAAATTTCAAAATCAATTAACCAACCACAGCTCAGAACATTTGTTTATTCTACACACAGCGTGGTTCTGATAATACTTGCACGCAACATGTCCAAAATGACGTGTTTAGGTCTATGGACTTGGAATATAAATTCTCCTCACAAAATGGATTTTAATTTACAAACGATGCATGTACTCTTGAGAAAAATTTAGGACAACATCATAAAGACTAATCCACCAAAGAGAAGCATATCAAGTGAAGGACAGAAAGCCCAGCATGAACTGTGTGGTAAGAAGACAGAAAGAAAGAGATTACCTTTTTTTCGGCAGCTGTTGCCTCTTGGAGCTTTGAATTCTGCTCCCCGTTATCAAGTTGGTTTGCAAAAGGATCATCTGACTTACGTGCTCTCGACTTTGGTTGATTGAACATCATTGCACTGTCAACATTGGGGGCTGGTACCGGAACTGGTGGCCTCAAACCAGCAGTCGGAGTCATTGGTCGAGGACCCATCACAGGCTGCTGACCAAAACCTAGTGTAATATAGAAAGAACAACGAAGTCATCAAGAAAATCACACATTCAAAGAGGGAACAGGAGAGATATAAAGATGTTACAAGCACTCCTAACTTATACCAGGACTGGCACCCCAAGCAGCATTTCCAAAAGCAGGATTTGGTTGACCTGTCATGGACAACAGCGTCTCATCAAACATAACATTCCTTGGAAGCACTGCTGGAAGAGGATGGCCTTCCCTGTATCGCTCCATCAAATAGAGAGCAAAGCAGAACTCCCTCAAAGAAAGCATGCTATCACTATCCTGATCGGATAAGTCCCAAACTTGCTTTAGCACCTCTAACAAAGACCAACAGAAAAAAATCAAGCATGTTTAATCAGATAAAGAACAAGGTCCCTGGAACATCAATGAAAAAATTACAAAAAAGAAAAGAATTGACAAAGCTTTAACAGCATTGCACCAATCACAAGAAGACCTTATCTGAAAAGATCATGAGTAAAATACAGTGTTGAGATAACATCAGCCTAAAAGCCTAATTTAAAGTTTTATACCTCCCAAGCTCAATATTTCATATGTGGGCATGGTAGTCAAGGTCAATACCGAATACTCTAACAAATGATTTTATTTTGTTTAATCTACGCGTATCCTCATAAAGTTTGGTTTTTGTCTTTATCAGAAAATATGTTAATCTAATGATAATTAAAGCAACTTACCAACAAGTATATTTTTAAATCCATAGCTATCTACCAAAATAAGAAAATAAAATGAAATAAAAAGAATTACCTCTTGGTAGCCTCCAACTTATAAATAAATTCCTTGCCTGCTCTCCAGTGATTCTACCATCTCTGTCAGTATCTACTTCCATAAAAACTTTTGTATATTTCTGAACATCTGTAGGTTTCATCTTTGGCCATGTAAGTTGGGAATTATCAGGAGTTGAATTTCCAACCCCAACTGAAATTCCAGAGGAAGTAAATGATGAAGAACTTTGCAATGAAACTTGCTGTGGCGGGTTCAATGACTGGGTTCGCTGAAACTGGCTGCCTGTAGGTTGCATAGAGAAAGCACCCTGCAATGAGTCAAGTGAATTGAGCTTAGCTGAAGGTTGGGTTGCCCTGGAAACTGGAATAGAGGCTGATGAGGCAGGTAAACTGCTAGCTGAATAGGTAGACACAGCAGGCTCTTGTTTCATGGTAGGCGAGATCGCAGCAAAAATGTCCCCTCCAAAACTTGAAGCAGAAGAGCTCCCATTTCCTGAAAAAGCTAGTGCTTTAGAATCATTAGTCAAAGGCTGAGAAGATGGTGAAACTAGACTTAGTGTGTTCAGCGCAGATGAGGACGTTGATGGACTAACAGCTCTAGGCCCAGTTGGAAGTCCAGCAGTCCTCCCACTACTAAGCCAATCATTTGAAATGTTTGGGTTTGGAACATTAGGAGCAGCAGTACCACCAGACATGGGTTGAGAGGGACGGGGAGCAATACCTGCAGACATGGTTTGAGTTTGACCCACCACACTACCTCCCCTAAACAAATCTGGACCACCAGTAACCTGAGGAGGACAAGGAGCAGCTTGAAACGGTCTAGGAGACTGCTGCATTGTACTCACATTTGGAACCCCCGGTCCCCTAAAACCAAAACTCTGAGAACCCATTAGTGTTGGTGTTGGTGTTGTTGTTGGCGTTGGAGATGGAGATGGAGATGGTATTGGTGTTGGAGTAGGTGCACTTATCTGTGGGGCAGATGCAGCAGCCATAGAAGGTATTTGCTGCGCAGGTACAGCTGCAAGATTAATCTGTGGGGGCGGAATTTTGGCAGCAGCAGGACCGTATAATGCTGCCTTGACAATATCTGGTGTTAAATCACGTTTACTCTGTGCCACAGTAACAAGTTTGAGAGCATTATAAAATTCTTGCCGGCCAAGGAAACCAGTGCGGCTTTGATCAGCATGCATCCATATCTGCACTCACAACAAAATTTCATAACCGTGCAGCCTTATCATGAAGTACAAAGCTCAATTGGATCCACATAAAGTTTATAGAAAGTTAGAAACACTAGCTACCCAGATTTGCAACTAAACTGTAATTCTAACTAAGCACAGCTACAATTGCCAAATACTATCCGACCAGAAGAAGGCTCTGTATAATGTTAGGAAAAAAGACTTTCACATAAAATTAAGTGAAAGAGACATACATTCTTTTTCTCTCCTTAAATCATAAATGTAGTCAACCATTAATTTAACGAAATTACAGCCAGATTCGATTTCAGAAATATAAAAACTTCTGAATAGACTTTTCAACGAACAAAAAAGAGTAACAATTGCACTTAATCAGTGTTCAAAAAGAAAGAAATAGAACCTGAGCAAGGACTTGTTTGGGCAAATTAGATCCTTGGAAGAAACCGACAGCTTCCGCTCCACTAATTCTACCATCACCATCTAAATCAGCTCTCCTAAAATACGCTTCGAATTGATCCGCACTATTGGCCCCCGCCATTTACGATTTTACGACTAACCAACTATCTCCTCAGATCAAATTAATCCAAACTCAGATCACACATAAAATATAATTAAACGAATGCAAAACACAATAAAAAGAATCTTAGTATTAGAAGTAAGACAAAAAGGAATAGCACGTCGTGGAATGGTGGAATTTAAACTGGTGGTTAGATCGAGGAGAGGAGACAGAATATATTGAAAGGGGTTCGGAAATTTAAACGAATTTGGGGATTTAGAAATTAATAATAAAGAAAGAGACAGAGAGTTCCTCGCAAATGGGCTGTAGTGTCTCTCTCGATCGACAGGAACAGAAACTGTAACAGGATCTATCTTATTTCTTTTCTTCGCTTTGGATTTGGAGTTAATTTTTTTAGTCCCAATGGTTTCAGTTTATTCCTTTCAGGACAATAGGTTTCAAATACTACTGCTTTAGTCCCTTGATTAATAAAATGTTTGTTGACTATTAAATTTATATTGAAAGGACAAAAATATCCCACTCTTAAAGTTATTAAAATTTTATTGAACATTGTTATAAGAATTTATTTTTAAAAATATGTAATAAAATTATATACTAAAAAAAAAAAACATTATACATTACAAATTGAAATAAATAAACATATTACACATTAGAAAATCAAAACTATTTAAATATGATGAATTTCTAGCGTATAATGTTGTTTATTTAATTTGAATTTGTAGTGTGTAATATGTTTATTTAATTTAATGTTGATTGTGTAAGTAATTTTTCATTTTCTTAAAGAGGTATTTCTGTCATTTCAATATAATTTTAATAGTCAATTAACATTTTATTTAGTCAAAGGACTATAACTGTGGCATTTGAAACCTAAACTGAAACCACAGGAACCTAAAATGAATTAACTCTTTGGGTTTCAGAAAATATTTTATTAACCCCTTCTTTGATTATATTTTTAATTTTACCACGCTTCATTTATGTGTGGACATGGACTCGGGCCGCACCTGGGTCAGGTGGATCGATCCGGCAAGCTAAAATAAGTCCTTTGATAAACTATTAAAAATTTACCGAATTATCCTTAGCAATTTAGTATAGGTTTCACACAATACTCAAAGCATAAATCGTATGTTAAATATGGAAAATGATAAAACCATCGAAGGTTACGCACCAAATGACATGACAAATTCTTGACCGTTGATTAATATTAGCTGATAATGAATCAACAGTCAAGATTTTATCACGTCATTCGGTGTGCAACCTTCACTGACTGTAGCATTACTCGTTAAATATTACTCCAACAAAAGATATTGATGACCCATTTCCCATTGCCAATTGGTCACAAAGGAGAATTTTTGTTTCTGTTTTGCTATTCACCTAAACATCAGTGGCTTTGAAATGTTTTTCCATCAGTCCAATGGAGTTTAGTCTATGAAGTGTGTTATCAAGATAAAATCTATGTAATCAAACTAACATTTGCCAGTGTTATAATAAATTACAGATTACAGGGGAAACAATTCTCTTAAAAGTTGCACGGCCACACCACAGATTCCCAGTGAGATGAAAGATGAACTGAAGTACATGATCTATTAACAAGACAGCGTGGGAATCTTTAAGAATCGAATTCAACCAATGCCAACATGGAATTGTGCATCAGCTGTGTTCGGTTTCTCCTCTACCGGCGGCAAACTGAAGGCCATTCAAGATAGAAACAACGATATTTGCAGTTTACTCTTTTTCCTGCATAACAAGTTTGACATCAAATCCAGTAACACTTCAAACCAAGCGGAAGTGTAAGAAGTCAGATGCGGCAAAGAGAGAAAAATGAACTACCCGCAGGCTTTCATCAACAATGGAATAATAGAATGTGCCAACCAAAATCCAAGGATCACTCCTTTCCTTTGAATGACAATATAGTGAGAGTCAAGTTTCTGACCTCCACAGTCACAATGATTATAGGTGTATCTTACGCCACATATCAAAGCTACGACTTGTTTAATTCAGCTGCATATGTATCAAAGTGTGCACCTGCAAATGAAGCAAAATGAAGAAATATGAAAGGAGACCGTAAGGAAAACAAAACAAGGAAATCTGAAAGTAGACCACAAGGATTACACAAGAATAGCTTTCATAGAAATTAAAAAAAATTATGAAAGAACACAAAAACAGAGAAACGGTGCACTTCCAGTACACAACTTCTCATATCACTGAACAATAACTATTTATAAGAATATGTTCTTCATTTTTATAAAGTGCAAAGTGGATGCTGTTGAGTGATTATAAGATGCATATACATTACATGTATGACAAAGGCATAAAGATCCCTCTTGTAGGAAAGTAAGAAAAACAGCACCAAAAAAAAAGCAATTAATGAGCAATTACCTTATTCACAGGCAAGATAACTACCTGCTGAAAAAATTAAAAAAAAAATGTGCAATGCTTCACTTGCAAGTGAAACTCATATCAGCTCAAAAATGCCAGCCTTTAGCACGCCACAACCTTCGAACATTTTCATTACGACGAGCAGCTTTAATCTTCAAAAATAGCTTATAAGCTCTGTCTAATTTATTTGAAGCAAGTAGTTTGTTACTAAGTTTGCTGTAAACAAGCCTGCTTGGGCAAAAACCCTTGCGCAAAGACTCCTCCATGACAAGTACAGCATTTTCAAGCTGACCTACATTGCAAAGGCCAGTAATGACATATTCATAGACTTCCAAGTCAGAAGAATAACCACATTCTTGCATCTCATACCATAAATCTAGTAGCATTCCACATTTCCCAAACCTAGAAAGCCGCATGAGCAATAACTTATAAGCACTGAGTGATAGTTTACAACCAGCATTACTTGCTTTCTTATAGATCATCATAGCAGCATGGGGTGGACCAAAGCTACACAGAGGTTCAATGAAAGAGGTTATAGTCCCCATAGATGGAACAAGCCCTCTATCTAACATCTCTTCAAACACCTCAAGTGCATCAGCAACTTTTCGGGCTTTGAGCAACCCATGAATCAATTTTGTGTAAGTATCCAAATTTGGGTCACACTTATTGCTCAACATACCCTTATAGTACTTCATACATTCATCAAAATCTCCAATTGAAATGTAATTAGAAATCAATGCATTGTAAGCATTCGTATCTGGTCCACAGCCTTTCTCCTTCATGGCATGAAAAACCGCAATGGCATCATCAATTCTACCAGCTCTTCCTAAGCCCTCAATAAGATAACAGAAAGTTGAAGTATCAGGACTAAAACCTTCAACCACCATTTCCTTCAAAACCCTCTCAATCTCACTAACTTCACCAAGCTTTGACCACCCACCAATTATAATATCGTATGTCTTTCCATTAAACAACACCTTCCCTCTCATTGAATTGAAAAATGAATTTGCAGCTCCTACATGTAACCGTTGACATAAACACCTTAACATTACATTCAAAGACTCCGTATCACATTTCAACCCAAACTCTTCCAAATTTCCAAACGTTTTTATAGCTTTATATACTTGACGAGCTCTAATAAAGCTATCCAAAACTATCGATACCGTCTCTAGATCAGGTTTTACTCCTTCTTTTACCATGTCACGCAAAATATCCATCATAAAATTAAAAAATTTTCTTCTGCCGAGTGCTTTAACAATAATGTTGTAACTCTGAACATCTTTAGGAATATTTGGCTGCTTAATTGCCCAATTAAAGAACGTAACCATAGCTTCACCGCCTAAATTACCCCTATTCACTACTTTAGCAACAACATCGAGACTTAAATCTACATTAACATTCGTTAAAGCATCTTCAATTGCAGTTTTGCCCCTCAGTTTTTGAAGAAAAACCCCTCGTAACATCTCATCAGGCAATAAAAACCCATCAACGACCCTCCTGTCGATTTGTTTCACTGAATCACTCTCTTTATACAAATTCGAAACTGAATTGTTCCGAGATATTTGTAACAGTTCAGAAAGTTCGTTCAGAACATAACGTTCATCGACACCCGATTGGTTCTTGATTTGATTTACTGCTGGTTCATCTTTTAAAGAGTTTGACTGAAAATCCAGGGTTGAAAATGAAAACTGTGAAAAAGATGAGCTAATGGAGGATGGATGGTACCCGCTTCGGTTAAAGCGCGATACAAAGCTTACGATTTGCCGGGAATGAGACGCCATGAAACCAAAAGGGAGTAAGGGACTGTTAAAATTTGGGGGAACTAATGAGTATTCAAGGATTTCAAAATATAACAAAAACCTCCCTGCGCTTATAATCCGCTATGAATAATTAACCGGTGTAAGGGCTTCGTAGTCATTTTCTTTTACTATTTAAGATATTGGGATTAAATTAACAAAAATGGGAGGACAAAAAGAATTAACCACATTTACAAACCTTAATCTATATTAGCTAACAATAATGAAGATTTCAAAGGATGCGTTTGGCTTATTGTTTTTATTCATATTCTTAATCTTATTTTTTAAATATTATTTAGCATGTTATTCTCAGAATATTAGCCTATTTTTTTAATTACGTTGGGACCCTATAAGTTTATTAATTTCATTAAATACTGCTTAGAAAAAAAGTTTAAAAACTAACAAAAACACCCCCACCCACCAATACCTACCAGATTCTGGCAACCACCGCCAGTGGTAGCCAGAATCTATCACAATAGTCACATAGCCATCGGAAATAGCCGGTAATGGCGAGATCTGGCCTTTTTCGGTCAGATCCACAATGGATCTAGCCGGAAAATGCCAGATCTAACGTCAACGACGGCTATATCTTTGGCCGTCGCTGACAGACAACGACGGCCATAGTCATTTTAGCCTGTTCCGGTCGTCGCAGCCACAACAGTTCATAGATCTGGCCTTTTCTGGCCAGATCCGTGGTGGATCTGGCCGGAAAATGCCATAACAACGAGTTACGGCACAGATCCGACCGGTCTATGTCGTAGCGAAATTTTCCAGTCGGATTCCGATGGTGGTGGCCGGATCTAACACTGCAGGTGGTGGGGGTGTTTTTGTCATTTTATATAATTAGGTCTTTAATTAAATTAGTAAACCTAAGGGCTTTTTCATAAATTTTTAAAGTTTACCTCGTAATACTCTCCTATCTAATAACCCAATACTATCCCTAAAATTCTATCAAAAATAATAAACCACACGTACCCAAAATCACCCTAGCAACTAGCATGAAGATACTTTTTTATCTTTTGAGTTGTTCTATTGAAGCAGTCCACTCAAGACCTTTGGCATCTACCTAGACCCAATAACAAAAACAGATCATTTCTTTTAGACTAGTCGAGAATAATTATGATCTAGTTCATGACCTATTAGAAGTATAAGACATTCTGGTGAGATCCTCATGGACCAAAAAAAGATTGCAATCGATTTGATAATGATCGAATGACATTGCTTCTTCGCTTTGAAAAGAGGAATCCCTTAGATATGATGCAAAATGGATCTTTTAACTTTCTCTCTTTCTTTAAATTTCTCTTATAATTTGAATTGCAAATTTTTGGCCGATTTCAAATTCTTGACTTAAAGCCAAAAAATTGATCATATAATTGTAGATGCAAAAATCTACAATTATAAAAATAAAGTCTGATCCCGTGAGGTTGAGATAACTTATTTATTAATATATAAAAATGTAATAAATAAAATGAAAATAAGATCTGAGGATTAATTTCTTATTTAAGCAACTATGATTTAAATGGGGACTATATTAGTAGATTATTATGTTAATCTTCTCATTGAATTAATCAAGTTTCGTGTTAGTTGGCTTGAACACTTTAATTTAAAAAAAAAAATTAGAAAAGAGGAGGGCACGAACGTCACAAGAAATGTACTTCAAAAACATTAGTTCAATTACGCCGTAAAAATGAAGCTACCGCCTTAATCTAAAATAAGAAACCCAATTTTCCCGCCAAAAGTCCCCCAACTCTCAATTTCATTTTAATATCCCGCTTTCAAATATCACTTACTGTGATTCTTCTTCCAGAAAACCCAAAAATGGATTCTACAACAATCCCGTACCCTAACCCTAATTATGAAAAACCTAAAAATGGCTATCCAATCGGAGGTATTCAAGTGGAGTTTCCGTATCAACCGTACGGGAGCCAGTTGGCATTCATGTGCAGAGTGATATCGACCCTGGATCGAGCGCAAAGAGACGGTCACTGTCACGCATTGCTAGAGTCACCGACCGGTACCGGAAAATCGCTCTCGCTTCTTTGCTCGGCTATTGCATGGCAGCAGAATTATAAGTTAAAGAATCAATATGCGAATCTCTCTCATTCGAAGCCCAATCCAGAGGCCATGACGGATCCTCTAGCCTGTGGTGGAGGATTCATCCCCGAGTCGCAGCCTTCTGGTAATATTTCGATTTCACCATTTTGTTAAACCCCAGTTTACTAGCTTAAGATGCTGTTTAATTCTTAAATATGAGAAGATATTATAAGATAGTATGTGGTTTATTATTATTGAAGTGATTATCATTCCTGCTGAATGTTTAGATTTTGATTGCTTTGATATGGCCTTCTTTTATGTTAGGTGTTCCACCGTCAACAAATGCAGAGACGGCTAAATCTGCAACAAATAACAAGAATCAAAAGAAAAAGAACGCACCTACCATATTTTATGCCTCGTAGGTTTTATTATGCTAAAAATTATTATTTTCTTCTCTTTTGATTGGTATAAGACATGAAATACTATAAAGTTATTTACATGTCTGAAGTTGTAGCAATTTTGAGTTCTCTGCGCAAGTTTTATAAGGTGTTAGTTTAAACTTTCTTTGTCTATGAAGTAATTTGTTAAGTTTTATGGTATGACACTCTTATATCAAGTCAAAATGTTGATATAACTACCCTTTTTACTTTTACCCATGCTAAATTTGTGCTGTTTTGATACTTTTTAAGTGTACTGATCAATCCTTGTTACTAGCTGGAAATTAAGTGGGTGAAGATTTTATAATCAGAAAAAGTTAAGGTCAAGTAAATTATATAGTGGGGCCCATCTTGCATCTATATATGTTGTGCTGTACGTTGTACACATGGATATAAATGAACTGGGCGTTGAGTTTTTTGTGAATGCTAACCAAGATATTCTGCTTGTTGGATATTGTAGAAACAATGGATATTAGAATAATTAGATGTGGATTTGCTAGTTGAATAATTTCTTGTTATTTTCTGTTTACACAAGGAGGACGCATTCACAAATTTCTCAAGTAATTGGTGAATACCGGAAAACTGCTTATCGGGTGCCAATGGCAGTGTTGGTAGGTTGAATCCATCTTTTTAAAATTAATTGTTTGGTTTAATCTAATTCTCTTGTATATGAATCAATCATTAATTGATGAGAATCACGCTATGGTTTCAGTGGTAATATTTCTCCTTCTCTCCCCCTTTCTCTCTTCAGAATCTGGAAATTTTTTTTACACTGGGCAAGTTGTTGATAACTTTATTTCATGTCCTATCAGGCTTCACGGAAACATTACTGCACAAACAAACATGTGCGTGGCAAAGAGAATGTTGATGAAGAATGGTGCACTTTCAATCTGAGCAACTTCCCTTTATCGTTTTTTTTTTCCTTCTCAACAAGATTTTCATTTAACTTGTCCTCCTAACTATGCTACTGCAAATTTCCAGCAAGCTGCTTTTGGGAAATCGAGATGTAGGATGCCCTGAATTCAAGTATGTTATTGCTCTATCTTTATATGCTTACAAAATCTCAGTGATCTTTAATTTAACGGTCAATCTCTTAAGTGAAAGTGTAGCCATAACCAATTTTATTCCAAAACAGAAATATGCATAAAGTCAAAGCTCATCCATCATTACAGAAAGGAGGTTGCCATGAAGTTCATGATATTGAAGATCTTGTGAAAGTTGGACAAATTGTTAGAGGTCAATTATGGACCTTATAATATGTACAATACTCGCTATGTTTTGCCACAAACATCTGATTGATGATCTGCCTTTTCCAGGGTGCTCATATTATGCAGCACGTTCCATGGCTGATGATGCACAGTTGGTGTTTTGCCCGTACAGCTACATCATTAATCCTGTTATTCGCGGAGCAATGGAAGTTGATATTAAAGGAGCCATTGTCATTCTTGATGAAGCCCAGTATATTTCAAAACTTCCTTTTTAGTTTTTTTCCTATAAAGTTCTGTTATGTGCTTTAGAGCATGTTGGGAAGTAATTAATTTAACATTTTAGTCATTGATTCTTATAATTTGTGGTTAGTGAAAATAAACAATTTGGTTTACTTAAGCTCAATACAACTATGGCACTCTACATGTTAACGTGATTAATTGTTATTTCCTAGTTACCAAAATGTGACATACATTCAAGTTATATTCTCTTTCATCTTCCACTATTTCTCAGCAAACAAATAAATGGTAGAGAAAAGATTTGCATTTATTGTACATACATATGTGGTGTTGCTTTTTCTTATTTATGCTCTTGAAAACTCATGTATATTGATATTTTTTCTGTGGCTTTTCAGCAATATAGAAGACATTTCTCGTGATGCTGGTAGCATTGATATTGAAGAAGATATTTTACTTAGTAAGTTGAATACATATTCTTTTTGAATATCTCAATTTCATTTTGTTGTGACTTATGCTGGTTATACCTTATGAAAGAATTGCAGATGGAATTAGGACAACTATGCTCCGTTAATGCCATGATTTACCAACCTTTAAGTGAAATGACACAGGTAATTTTAGTTCATTCTATTTCACATTTCTGGCTTTAAAAATCTTTATAACTGGGTTTTGAACAATGATGTGATAACTGTATAGGACCTCATAAGTTGGATTGAGCGGAGGAAAACAACATTAGCAAAGCGGGAATTTCAGCATTACTGCTCTATGTGAGTTAGTTTGCCTGTTCTGCTCTTCATTGTTATGTCTATGCTTCACTATATTATTTTTTGTTTGTCTTGAACATATTCAATTCAGCATAATGGCAACTTAAGAAAACCATTGTATGCAAAATCTTTTTAAAATTTTATTTTCTGTTAACATTTAAATACTGGCATTATTCCTTTTATGGAATATACACATCATATTTTTAAGCAGCATACTGAATTAGGAGAATATTACAAGAGCTCGTTCCTCCTCCCCCATTTCCATTTTGTCTAATTGAATTATAAATAGAACTATGCCCTTCAAGAAATTTGTGTTAAAAGGTTCAATTTTATATATACAGGAATTGTTTTTGTCTCATATAATTTTATTGTTGTTGTTACCATGTTAAGCTGGACTGGTGATAAAGCTTTAAGAGAACTGCAAGAAGCTAACATCTCACAGCAATGCTTCCCGATATTACTAGACTGTGCCACAAAGGTACTGTATTTTTTAGGATTTTTAGGTTTGCTTTTGACCATTTTTCGCATTATGGACTTACCTTTCTGCTCAAAGGCAATCAAAGCAGCCACAGATACAGAATCAGAGGTGCCGCATTTAAGTGGCATGTCAGTGATAACATTGGAAGGTACAGGCTTTTGATTCTTATGTATTCATTCTCTAGAATTATGTAGATCCATTGAACATTTAATGCTGTAATTCCTTACCCTTTAACACGCCACAGGATTATTCTCCTCGCTTACATATTTCTTCTCAAGAAATGGTTGTCATGTATTTGATTATCAGCTTGCGTTACGACGATATGTCAAAAAAGATGCAAGTAAGTAGTTAAGAATTGATGATTTGCTTAATTCTTTTAGAAGTCATGTTAATGAATTTGTTATGAACATAAATTGATTTTGAACTCAGATTATTATTTGAGAGGATTTGGAAGATAGGTAGTATCAAACTTAATGTTATAGAACTTAATTTCAAATTAGTGAAACTATTCGAAAACTTAAGGCCTCGTTCATCAACCTTGATATGGGTTGGAAAAGACCCACTGCTGCAGCTCTCAGAATAAGAACCCTCCTTTATCCTTTCACCCGCCTTTGTCATCATAGTGTAAGTAAATTAAGGGTTATAAATTAGGTGCATTTATGGGCTTTAGTTTAGCTCATCTGAAAAGTTCTTTTCAATTTTGCAGAATTTTTTAAAGAAGATTAAACCAAATTACATCGTCTTTCATAAGTACGGCTCTATTTTATCAATTTGCCATGCAGTAATCCTAACTTGATCCCAAATCCTATAGATGTGGTACTCATTGACACCCCATTTATGTGTAGTTTCAATGAACCAATTGGTCTGTCACGTGAAGTTGAAGAGAAAAAAGAACCAGGTGTAATGAGCCTAATTTTGATGATGTGATAGAAAAAAAAAAAAAAACTAAATTATTCTTAGGTGAAGAGCCTTACATTTATATATGGCCACAAACAATCCCAAGCCCAATCCAGCATTACCCATGTGGAACTCCTTTAAAAAATGATCTGAAAAGGCCATTCTGTAAAGTGTTTTTTTGTTCCTTTTCATTATTCTGTTCTCATTGCCATCAAGAGCTCAAATTTTTACTGCAGAGTGTGTTATTACTGTCTTTTATTAATTGTTAGTGATATTATTTTGTGTGCAGAAACTTCTGCTGGTGACTGGACATGTACTTTTAGTTTATGGTGCTTGAATCCGGCTGTTGTGTTCAGAGATGTTGCTGAACTTTCTTTGTCTGTCATTTTAACATCTGGGTAAGTGTATAGGGTTGTCACAAGTGGATTCCTAAGCTGGTATTTAAGATACTTGATTACTATACCACAAGTCTGTATCTTCAGATTTTTGAAACATCTTAAATTTTTTCTACTTTCTTCCATGCATGTGTACCAGTTGGCTCAAACAATATCTGGGCTATATATATTCTTCCCAAAATGGCACATGCCTCTGTAGTTATGATCTGCTTGCTTACTATTGAACATTGGACTATAGATCCTGAGTTTTGGCACCACAAAATATGTTCCCTTTCACAAAATTTTCATATCTGCCGAATCATACCAAATACTGTGTAGGGAAAAGTTAATAATATATGCATCATACGGTGATACAATTAGTGTGCAACCTTAATTTATTATTATTATTTTTTTAATATTTATTTAGGACTTTATCACCGATGAATTCCTTCTCATCTGAGCTTGGAGTTCAGTTTGGAACTTGTCTGGAGGCTCCACATGTAATTGATGTTGAATCACAGGTATAAATGACTTTTCCTTGCACTTCAAGTGCTTATTGGTTTTGGTTCCATCTGCTGCTGCTGCAGTTATGAGTCAGCTGCCTTTGTATTACAGGTGTGGGCTGGTGTAATCTCCACTGGTCCAGGTAATTATCCTTTGAATGCAAGTTATAAAACAGCTGATGGATATGCCTTCCAGGTAGCTTGTGCATTTTATTGCATTGATATTTGATTGACCGAGAATGGATTTTCTTTCTATACTTGTATAAGTTATCGGTTGTATATTATTATGAAGGATGCCCTTGGCAAAACTTTAGAGGAAATTTGCAACGTTGTTCCTGGTGGCTGTCTTGTGTTCTTCCCAAGTTATAAGCTGATGGAGAAACTGTGTAAACGTTGGCGTGAAACAGGCCAATGGTCTCGACTTAATGCAAAGAAACCGCTTCTTACGGGTATGAACTCCTTTATAATGTTTAAATTCTTTCATAGTTGTCATTCTTCATTTGCAAAATAATTAAATATATATATATTTTTTTCAGTTGTGGTTTGCAATTTATAGCCTTTTTATAAGTGTTGGAGCTTACCTGGTTTATGAAGGATTGATAATACTTATTTTTGTGGTGGTTAGTGCAGAGCCAAAAGGAGGAAGCCAGGAAGATTTTGATCTCATTTTGAAGGATTATTATCACTCAATTTCTCAAGGCAAGAAACCTGCTGTTGTGAGAAAGAGAAGGGTTAAGAAAGTAGGCATCAATCATTTAAATGCAACCGAGCCCCTTAAAGACACTAAAAAGGATGGAGCTGGTTTTCTTGCAGTTTGCCGAGGAAAGGTAGGGAGTTTTTTGTTTATTATCATAAGGCATCTATCTTCTACTTCTTAATCTGTTTCAAGGAGACCTCTTCATTTTAAAAATTGTATTATGATATGGTCGCAGGTTTAGACAGATGTATATGTGTGTATTTGTGTTTTCTTTTCTTTTCCTTTTTTTTTTTTTTGGAGGGATTTGCTTCTACTTAATTGTTATATTTGCTTGCAGGTTTCAGAAGGAATTGACTTTAGTGATGATAATGCCCGTGTGGTTGTATCCTTTTTCACTCTTCAAATGTTAGGTGCCAAGTATTCCACATTTTTGGTTGACATGTTTTTGCCACTTCAGCACACGGAATTTTCTACTTTGGAAAAGTCAAAAGATTGTACATCTCAAATATCTAGGACATAGGTTAACTTAGCTAATATGACTAGTTATAGGATTTACTTCTAGTGCTAAATGATTTTTTCTTTCATTTTTTTGTAAATAACTGCTACCAGTTTGAGTCTCAAAAACCATGAATTCAGTTGGATACTTGCTTGTCAACATCCCCTTGATGGTCATTGACCATGATTTGTAATTCCTTAACTGTCTCAGATAGTTGTTGGCATTCCATTTCCAAACATGTGAGACTTACCTGTAACTCAGACATTCTTTCAAATATGAATTATCTATGTTCGTTATAATGGCTGATTCATGTTAACTTCTTATCAGAACTGATATTCTAGTTGATTTGAAGAAGAAATATAATGATACATATAAATCAGCAAAAAACCTTCTAAGTGGTAATGACTGGTACTGCTACCAGGCCTTTCGAGCTCTAAATCAAGCTATAGGTATGCTTTACAATGTATCAAACTTTCCATTTTGTTAATATTTTCTGGGGTATGTTCATGAGGTGATTTGCAACTATAGCGTGACCATTCCTTGCATGATGTTAACTGTATCAGACTCAAATGTTTAATTCTGTTCTGGCATTATTTGATGACTTTTATAATATGATTGTAGCAAAGAAAAATTTTAACTGCCTTCTACTGTTTCTAGGACGCTGTATACGACATAGGTTTGATTATGGAGCCATCATCTTGTTAGGTAACTGTTTCCAATTTTTAAAATCCATTTAATTCTGTTTACTGGAATGGCTCTAGCATTATTATTACTAATATTGAATTTTTTTAATTTTAATAGTATGTTCCTGCAGTTTTCAACCATAAGTTAGTGTTTATCAATTTATAACTTTTTGCAAGCAGATGAGCGTTTTCGGGAGGAAAGGAAACGAGCATATATTTCAAAGTGGCTAAGGAAATCCATTAGACAGTATGACAACTTTGAAAAACCACTAGAGGGATTAAAATCTTTCTTCAGAGATGTCAAGGTCCCCTCTTTTACCATGTATCTTTTATTGCGCTTATTTTCCTTTACATGGTTAGTTAATTCAGTGGAGGAACGATAATTCTTAATTGGTTTCCCTGCCCAAAAATGCTTTCAGGATCGGGTTGGCAAGAATATGTTAAATTTGTCACAGAATATTGATAATAACAAGAACAATGTCCCCTCTTTGGTTGCAAGTAAAGAGTTGACAAGAAAGACAACTCAGAAATTTAATGAGTCTGATCATTCAGGACAGAAAGTCCATTCAGTGACAAAGTGCGATTCCACCTTTTCCCAGTGTAATTCTCAAGGCTGTTTTGAAGTTCAGACATCAGTGAAACTTAATCAAGACACTAGTAGCTGCATACAACATACTGACCTGGAAACTGAAGAATGTATTCATGATAAAAATGACCACTCTATTAAATTCAGCAAAGGGTTCATGAGTAAAAAAAATGAAAAACTGAACAATGGACTGGAAAAATACTTTCTGATGAAGCATGATGACCCTTCTCCCGGGTTGAAATCTGAAGGCGATATTGTAGTTCAGGCATCTTTGCAGGTAGATAAGGACATCAACGACTGCAGAGATTATATTGATCTAGGATGCAGTTTGCAGAAAGATTCAAGGTAAGAACTAAGAATGGGAACCGTTGTTGAATGTTTCCTAAAATGCATTTCTAGGTCATTAAATTTAGCAATTGTGCTGTCAAGTATTGGTTTATAACTTCTTCTTTTTTTTTTTTTTTTTTTTTTAATATTCATGCTCTTTTTATGTTTGACTAGCATTTAAATTTCTTTGAAATATCTTACTGCCAGTTCAACCTGCTACAAGTCTTTTGTTTGAGATAGAAAGCATCCTTTTGCAGGTGCTACGAGGCTTCAACTATGCCATTCTCCAATGAAGATCCAGGATTATCCCTTGTCAAGGAAACCCCTGGTATGGGTGACAATATTACTGTGGCTAGTCCTGGATCCTTCTCTAAGGATGGAAACTCTAGTTCAACCATATTTCAAGCCTCTACCCAGTCTCCAGATCAGTTATCATTCCATTCAAGGACTTTAACAAATCTTGGCACAGTTCCTTCCAAAACCCAGTCCGAGATGGTAGTTACTCCAGAAAAAGATTTTAGTGGAAACACCAGCAATATCCTGCCGGAAAGAGATTCTTCTTTGAGTGTTAACTCACATACCCAAAAGAGGAGGAAGTTCTTGGGTTCTCCATCAGTTGACCTGAACTTAATTGCAAATCGCAGAATTGAATTTAGCTTTGAGACCACTCATGCAGAACATAAATCCAAGAAGTCAAATATTAGTGCACCAGTTACAATAAATAATGGTGCTGCTTCACACGTGTCATCTAGTCCTATTATGAACAAGAGATTACAAATTTCTTGTTCACTTTGCAGAAGCCCTTTAGGGCTTCATGAGAATCATCAGTATGTTTGGTGCTCATTAACTGCATCTACTAAAGTTCACTTAGTATCTCTTCTGAAAGAACAACTGGAACCTGGTGATGCAAATGTTCCAAGTGTACCTGTTATCATTACTGACATTTCATCAGTTCATCAGCAGCTCTGCAAGAGAACTCTTGAAGGTGCTTCTGGAAAGGGTATATGGTGTGAAGAAGATGGGTGTGTATACAATAACATCTTTTGTCCCTTCTGCAGTATCCCCAACAACTGTCTTGGTGTACAGATTGTAGCATGTGATGCCTCAAATATTCAGTTACTTAACAAGGTAGGTTTATTTCAAGTCTTATTATTCTGCAAAGTCTCCTGCTATTGTGCTTCAAACTATTTGTAACATATGCGTCTCCTAGAAAAGGTGCACCTCTGGAAATTTTCATCTTGTGGCTTCTTTTTCTAATCTTTGTTTGATTTGCAGATATTGCTTTACTTGGAACGTTTGGAAATTAGGAATCCTGAAGCAGAAAAATACAATCCGTCAGAAGCCAAGGCAAGTCTGTTATGTGTCTTTTAATTTTTTTTCCCCATTATTCTTAAATCTTTCAATTCTCTAATGCGAAGTGGCTTTTGAATTTTGATAAAAATGCCAAGAAAAGCAATATTTATTGACCGAGGAATAATGGAAAACAGGATATCATGGCAAAAGAAGAGGAAATGAAGTTACTTATGACTTTCAATTTTGAAAGTTTTTTGTATTGCTATCTTATACAATTGTAACGTCTTTGAATACTGACTAGTGAATGATGATATGCATAAACTACTCCATACGATTCAAAAAGATTATTATTTTGGATTAATTGTCGTCGCTGTACTCCTTGTAACAAATCTAGTATGCTTGTAGGATTCAATGCCAGTTAAGGGTATGGGTGTAGATAAAGTTGCTGCTTCAAATTGCATTGAAAAATTTTCATATTCCCCATCACAGAACTCGGGAGGCTGGAGGACCACAAAAACAAAGGTGAGCTTAGAAATGCTTTGAGCTTTTGATCGTAAGGCTTTGTGCTGTCTGCTCTCGTAAATCTCACATTCAGTTTCCCTATTCTTCAGCTGAGACTACCAAAGAAAGCCCTGCTTTCTAATGTAGAGGGCTGATGGCCATGCCAAACAAGACCTTCTCTTTTGTACAACTTATCAAATTGGATATATATGTCGTGCTTTTTAGTTCTTTACTGCCCACATGATACGAGTTGAAGTTGAGATTGCTTATGTTGGAATGCAAATATTTAAAGGCAATGGCCGCATCATTTGCCTTAGCAAGTGAAAAGCTCTGATGGTTCAAAACTGCACCAACTGTTGCAATATGCCTGACTGCCTGAGTCCACTGAAGTTAACCTTGAAGTTCACAGAACATGTTAAGCAGTTAGATTTTTGATGAGATAACTTTGGTGTATCGGTTTATAAGGTGTAAAATGGGCTTCTTTGTAAATATAATAGAGTTTAACTTATTTTGGTCTTCTGATGATTCTTATTATTTCTAGCAATTAGTTTATCAGTTTGTAAGGGTGGTTTTGGTTATAGGCTTATAGCTACAAACACTTCAATCATTCAAAACCTTAAAATATGGTTTCAGAACTGTTTTCATAAAACGAAAATAAGAAATTTACAGTACAAGTTTGACAGTACTTTTTGAAACGATATCGTTTTGCCATCATAATACATAATAGTATCTCTCATTTTTATTTTTCTACTTACTTGCTTAGATATTTAATATTTTGAAGGCATCGCACTTGTAAATGTTTTATTTCTCTCATAGAAAGATAAAAGGCAAAGGCAAAGAGTCTTATCCCAGTCAGCTTTATGAAGCCAAAGGGGTTGTTTCCTTCTTTCCTTTTGGGCGAATAGTCTAACAATTTCAAGTTTTCAACATAAAGGATAAAATGAAATTATGTTAGAACCAATGTTTTAAAACCCGGTCCAGTCTAGCCGGTTTAATCGGGACCCAGAAGCTTCAACAAGTCAAGTTTTTATTTTTTCTATTCACTCAAAACCCTGAGATTTGGGAGGATGATCGACGAACAATTGACTATTGAAATGTTGGGGCTTTTGAAGAAGAAGTGTCGATGAATGTAATGGTGGTGACGGGGTGAGGTGGCTTTTTGTCGGGAGGAAGAGGGGAGTAATTTCTAAGTGATGGGGAGGGTTGTTGACGTCGGAGTCGATGAGATCTGGACGAAATCGAACTTATTTCGGTCAGATCTTAGGTATATTTTAAGGGGAATGGGCTCAATTAGGATTGCATCTGGGGTGTCGTCAGCCGATTTGTATTTGAGGTATGTTTGCTAAATTTCAAACGTATAGGGATTTAACTGTAATTTTTAGAGGTATATTTGCTGAATTTTAGAAGTTTTTGTCAATCAATTTGACCGCTGGTCAACTCGAAATGTCGTGTTTCACCCTGGATTGGGTTTTAAAACACTGGTTAGAACTTAGAACTGGAGCCCAAGGAGAGGCCCTAAACTTAAGTATCACATCCACCAAGTGTGAGATTTCACAAGTTGACGTCCATGATAGTTATGTAGTTCAATTCTCAACAAAAACACCAATATTAGAATTCAAGCTCAAAGAAAAAGTCCAACTCAAAAGATCGGCTTGATAAGTAAGAGGGCCCCTAGACTTAAATACACACTTTGTGAGCGTGAGATCCCGACGTGGGATCCTAACAAATTGTCCCAATTTTCAAATTAATAATAAGTAATTGCAATCAACCGAGCACATCCAAATTATAACATTAGAGAATTTAGATGTTATGAACAATACAGTTTAAAACTCTAACAAGTCTTTACCAAATAAAAATCAATTTACTTTGTACATAGCTGGTGAGAGTTATGACCATTGACCAGGTCATGCACTTCCTCCTCCTCCCAAAACGTCATCCCTAATATTTAATCCAATGCATTGACTATTCTGATATCCTCCAAGTTTGTTTTGCAAACCGCCATCAGCTCACTAAAATGCTTTTATCATCAGAGCATGCTGTATCCTTCCACCTCCCACTCAGGACTATAGCTACCCGGCCCTTCCATTTTGCCCATTAGTTGCTCAAATCCTGCAGAAACATGGAGAAATCTAATTGTTAATTTGCGCCAATGCTTTTGTTTTAAAGGATCACATAACATGTCGTTGGTTAGAAATCGATGATTGTTTTTATTGTCTTGATGACACAAATCTTCCTTAACATGTGTTCAGATTTTTTTATAAAGAAAATATGGCATGAACTTCTTTTAAATAGCATTGCCAATAGTTACTAAACTACTAGGAGATGATGAAAAAAAAAAAAAATTATTTTGAGGCATTCAGTAGGTTGATCATGGAAGTAGATTAAGCACCTATATCCGGACTTTGAGAAAAAATGTGTTCAGCCCTTGCTGCTGAATTCTCAAACAACTGGATGCTTTCTGGGTTTTTGTTCTTTGACTCAACATGGGTGTCTGCTTCTGACTCCTCCATGTTCGAACCAGCACCTGACTGCTTTCTCTTGATACGAGCTCTTCTATTTTGGAACCAGTTATACACATTTGTTTCAGAAATTTGTCCATGTTGTGCCAGTTCACTGGTTATTTCTTGGATCTTCTGCTTGTTAGGAGTACCAGTGCATTCATCATATACACGCTCAAGGATTTGAAGTTGCACGGGTGTCGGCGTCCAACGTTGCCTGGCAGTGATCTTCTGGCCACCAGATGTCAACAATGGATCAAAGTATGGATTGCCGAATCTCATTCCTAATCAAAGTAGCAAACACACAAGAGATCTCCATGTAAACATCCACTAGACTTTTGATTTAAGAAATCAATAAGAAGATTTGGCAAAGCATAAGAAATCAACCATAACCGATGAACCAAGATTTCACAACTTGAGTGCTAAAGATTTTCTGGTCAGTCCACATTAATGCCTCAACAGAGCATGGCAATACAAGAGGTCACTCAACAATAACCAATAACAAGGCTGAAAATTAGCGTCTTCGAGCCAAAGCAATCAAATATCCGAGGTAATCACAGGTGATCTGTTTGAAAGGTTATATAAATGGTTTTAAGTAATGATAATAATTTCCAAGTTCTCTAACAACACAGCAACCTTTTGTTCAACTGTCAGAACATTGGGCTACGATATGGTAAGTATCTACTTTCCTTTCTAAATACACATTAGGACAACTATTTCATGTCTGGTATCAATTAAAGATTCTATCCATATGTTATGGCGGAAATTGAACCACTAATTTGGGCTTCAATCAGTGCATGATTTATGCATAAGAAATAAAATAAAATAAGCAACTCAGGCAGTCAAAATAATGAGCAAAAAAGTAAAGTAAACAATAAACAAAAGTAAAGGCACATCCATGGAGTCATTCAAGCAATGAAAACAAAACCCATCTACCAGTAATATCATGTTGAACAGAGAAGGCCTTGTGCATCTGAGCAAGCTGTTCACAAAGCATGGTGTAAACAGCAATTTGTTTCCTCAGAAGCTCCATTTGCTCATCAGTCATAACTTTTACAAACAACCCACCATTTTGAAACTGCCCCAACTCCATATCCACTCTCATCTCTTCTTCTTCCAGTTGCTTTTCTTGAAAATTCTGCCACTCCATCTTCCTCGGAAAAATCTTTTCTCCACCTATGACCTACCCACTTCTCAACACAACCATGTCTCTGAATTTCGTCAATTTATAGAAGAAATAAGTCAGAGATAAAGAAGAGTCTTAAGTAAACTTAAAGCAAGAAGCAAAAACTAGAATGATTATTGGTTTTGGAAACAAAAAGTCTAATTAAAGGCGTAGTTAACTCCTCATTTTAGTAAAATTCGGAAGCTAATTGCGCTGTTCAACACTAGAGTTAAGCGGGTCTCACGGACAGAACCAATTTTAAGTTGTGCTTCTTTAGTTGACCAATCAAATCAAGAAATAGCTATCGCTAAAGGGTAACTACAGTTTTCTAATTATAAACTGATGGAACTGGATAATCTGTAACCGGAGAATAGAAAAATAAACAGTAAGTTATAAGATATGCAAATAAAGTTGTTGCTTTCTTGCTGTGAAGTCCGAGAGATGGGACTGGTTGTGTCTGCCATGTTAAACTCAACATAAGATAAAATAATCTATTCCATGCCATTCGTGTACTGGACTAACCGTACCTGACAACCTCGTATACTGGGTCAAAGTAGAAGCATTCTAACGCATTCAAAATTATTCAACCATAATATTATTACTACAAAACTCATCCCATAAGCTTTGGTGGGAAAGGAATATATAATTGAACATGGGGTTCATTATAGTTTGGTTTATAATATATATAATTTTAATGGAAAATTTTGAGAGCATGCATAAGCCGGCAAGATGGGGCATTTTGATGTTCTATGGTTTCATTGCAGATGCCAGGAATCCAGCATATCATGTGGAACTAAAAGAGATGTATCCAACGGTAACAGACAGCGTCGAAGAGATAAACAAAATTATATGGTGGGGCTCTCCCGCTCCCATCATACATACTTTAATCCTAATTAATTAATATTGGCAATCTTATCAAATACGTTGCTGGAGCATAAGCACAGTACAGCACCTGCAGATACTTTTTTATTTTCTAGTCGCAGAAAGGATGATGGAGGAAAAGATTGAAAAGGGGTATTTGGGAGAAAGCAAACAAAAATATCAAGCAGAACAAAGTGGAGATATGAGGCACATAAAGCCACTAGATCATTGCTGTGAATAGGGAAGTTTGGTGTACCTAACCAGACCATGTTCTTTGCCACACACGCCAAAGGTTCTAAATTGGTTAACATTTTAGAGATACTATTAGAGGAAGAGGTTCGTCTCTGTTGCTTGAACATGAACTATATTTATAGATCCTTTGGGCGTTTGGAAGTTCGCACCCATGGGGAGATCGGCCCTGAGGGACACATGAAAGAGAACAAATACCCATGTGAGAAAAGCTTCTAGGGGACATGTAGAATGGTGCCATGGTGATGATTATGTGTTGAATTAAACACCTTGCTGTACTTGAAGAAGAAACACCATTTCGGATGGTGCCATATGCTCATTGGCTGTACTTAACAACATTACCCACCCCAATTATTGGGTAGTGGGTATACATAGCCTAACCATTTCTAAAAAGCTTACACTTAAAAGAGATTTTTATAAATCGAACTGCTATATGCTAACCTAACATTTCGAATTCCTCTTCCAGTAAATTGAGTAATTAAAAGCTGGCCTCCCAACCATTACAACTGGCTTGTTGAAACATTCTAAAAGGTTTTCTTGCATTTCCTTTGCTGATCATACACCAATCTATTATTGCAAAACATCCAGGGCACTTAGATGTTAGAACATTGCATATTCAATCACCATTTTCTTTAGGAGTGGATATATCAGGCCAATTATATGACAACCAAGACAAAAATAATTCAAAAGTTTGGACATTACAGAGGTTGAAGGACATCCGAGGAGACACCTCCAAATGATGGAATCCATATGGCAAAATGTTACCAAATTTCACAATCAATCCACTATCTGGAAGAGACACCTCCAAATGATGGAATCCATATGGCAAAATGTTACCAAATATCGCAATCAATCCACTATCTGCAACGCATCATTCAAAAAGGGTGATCTGAAAGTACTAAGATTACAATATATACTTCTCATACATCACTTCCACCCAAACAGCAACAGCACCAAACAAAGTCGGAAACAATTCCATGGCAAAAATAATCTCTGCCTTGAGTTGAGTCTAAAAATTGCCCAGTTCTCTTCTAAGTTTAACGGTAACATAAAAATTATACAATAAAATATCCAGTACTGCCCGGATAAGTCATGCATTCATAAGGCGGTGCAAATTCTGTTTATAAATTGTAGCTCAAACTTACTAGACCGTTGCATTTTGTACTTCAGTGACGGTCTTAGTAAGCGTTATCCTTGTTTGGCTAATAAGACATTCAGATCCATCCACCATCTAAATCCAAAGTCCCGCAAAACTAAAATCAACTAAATTCATTCACTGAATAATAATTCTTCATTGTAGAACAAACCTAACCAAAGAAAGAAAAATGCTAAAAGTCAAACAGAAACGAGGAAAAGGTACCACATTTGCATGTGCAAGCCACGCTCGTTAAAGCTAGAGCAACAAGTTCAATAATGCATGGGATGACTAACTAGTTTTGACAAAACTCTGAACAGTTGATCATCCCCGATAAACAATTTTTACAATTCATTCCCATTCAAAGATTTTGACCTATATGCCAAGTAAAAACACAATCAAACAACCAACCCCAAAGACGGGAAACAAACAGCTTGCCAACCGAATAAGCACATATAGATATCATAAGAGACATGTCAACAGAAAAACCAAAGAACAGGACTACATTTCTACAGAAGATGAAAACACCTTAACTAAATCATTAAGCTTTCGAAGCAAAGTACATATAGTAGTGAATCTCCCATCTACAACTATTAATTCTGAAAAGGAGCAGGAGAAAATGACAAGGAGAAACATAATTCCCTTACATGATAAAAGTATCTAAAAAAATTAACATGAAGCACAAAACATTTAACATATGTTGTCCAAACACTGTCATAGCCTAAATGACTATGCTATCTTCATCCTTACATGATAAAAGTATCTAAAAAAATTAACATGAAGCACAAAACATTAACATATGTTGTCCAAACACTGTCACAGCCTAAATGACTATGCTATCTTCCTCGCCAATTCCTACTCGTCATCATCCTCCTGTGCAATACAAAACAAATAAACCATTTCAATAAACAACTTTGAAGATTAACAACAAAATTAATTGCATAAGGAATAAATTATACATCTCCACTGCCCTCCTCATCATCATCCTCATCGTTCACCTCTGACATTGACTTCTCAGACTCCTCTTCATCATCCGCCTTTGGGCCTTCAGCCTAATTTCATCAATAATTAAGATTAGTCAACAGATTCAGAGCATAAAAGAATGAAATGAACAAATAAATGATAAATAAACCGACCTGTCTCTTATTATAGCTTTTCAATTCTTTCTCATAATCAGCCTTGCGTTTCTCAGCCTTAGCAACGTATGGTGCTTTGTCCTACAGTTGCCCAGTTCAATTTAATAACTAAAATAATTAAGCGCAGAGCAAAACATCTTCAACTGTAAAAAACTTACAGCCTCAGACATGGACTTCCATTTCTCACCACCAGCTTTACCAACCTAATACAGAAGAAAAAAATCAAAATAAACAAAGCATCTACAAATAAGCTTAAGGAAACACGAAAAGTAATCAATTAATTATACTTACAGCAGCTACTGATTTGTTTTTAGGGTGCTCCTTCTTGTACTGCTCACGGAACTCCTCCCTTTATCCAAAGGATCAACATATATAAATCAGATTTTTTACACATAATAATTAATCAAATATCATGCTTCTTGTTGTCAATTTCACCTAAAATTTAAATGGAGTATCGAAATATTTTCAAGTAAAAAAAAAAAAAGGAGGAAAAAAAAAAAGTAAAAACATGACGTAAGCTCACATGAAAACGAAGAAGGCACTGGCCGGCCTCTTGGGCTTGTTTGGATCTTTAGCTGCCTTTCCCGCTTTCTTTCCAGCTGCTTTTGTAGGCTTCTTGCTCACAGCAAGCCTATCACCACAAACAAAAACAAATCAGAAAAAACACAAATACACATAATATTAACAATAAAGAAAAAAATCGAAAAACAAAATTTCCGATGTAGATCTGAGATCTACACGGCCATAGTCCGAAGGCTATTTCTGAAGAAAAACGAGGCTAAAATAAGGAAAAAGATGTGCACACAATTTACCTTGAGCTCTTGGCTTCTGACTTGGATTTACCTCCTTTCATGGCGAATCCTACAAAATCAACAACGGATCAGTCAAAATTACTGGAAAAATCGTCGAAAATGGACGAGATTCGACCAAACTTACCGGTTAAATAGGGTTAGATTAGGGTTTGAAATGAGAGGAAAAGAGAGACGAACAGGAGAGAGAGAAAGAGAAAGAGGGTGTATTATGTGTTGTGCGTTGTGAGCTGAGAGGCCGAAGGGCGGAGATATTAAGTGGGGAGTGGAAATTGAAATTCAATTGCGCACGAAATGAAATTGGGATTTTAGGGGTTTAGGCGGGATTTCGAAATTTTATTGCCATGTCATCAATCCGTGTGATATTTTATGATTGGGTGCGTAAGTCTTAAGCTTAAGCGTTGATCTCCCCTTTGTGTTTTCTTTGTGCTTCTTTTCTCTCTATGAGATTGTGCTTCTTATGTCATTACTGCATTGCTTGAGATGCGTTGGGTTGGAAATACGGTCAACTCAAGCCCATTACCCGTCGCTTTAATGGGCTTTATCCGATCCATACAAAGCCCAACTTTATTTTTTTATTCGTTTTTTTTTAGATTTTTGCCAGATTTCGCCACGCTACCTTCATGCAAGAAACAAAGACATTTATTCTACAATAATTTGAGATCCATCTTAATCGAATAACACAACGGTCCAAAATCCCATATTTCTAAAAAGTCAAACTTATGAATTTTTTTGGCGCCTTTTTTTTTTTTTTTTATTTAAGTAAGGTGTTTAGATCAATTTATGTGTATTTCGACTAATTTTCAAGAAAATTAACACAATAACCTACTGTCACTATCCCCCACATGAGATTTTCAATTAATTCTAACCATTGAGCTAGTTTAATATATAAATATCATAAAGTTATAATTAATTTGACTAATTATATTTATTCCAATAATGCGCGTACCCATAGAGATTAATTAATTAAAGGATTGGGATGGACCACTTAATTTTCACCATAAAAGCTGAACAATGTGAAGTGTGAACATCGCAGCTTCTCTTGTATTTCCAAGTGTGCGCGTCAGCAAGATATTTTGAAGGGTAAACAAAACTACCAAATAAATAGTCCAGGCAGTATCTGGGGAAATAATAAAGTATTCACGTTTAAAAAGTTTGATGAAATAATAGGTGTATATTATATAGTCTTGTTCTTTAATAAAACATCATTTTTATTATTAGTATTATTATATGTATTATGTTTAGACTTTGGAAAGATGTTGATTATGATTTATTCCTAAGAGTAAACGACATGTACCCACCCAAGTTTTCACAAAATGAGAAGTTTTCAACCTGGTTTCATAAATTCCAGATTTATTGCCAATCTACCCTTAAACCTTTTACTTTTGATTGTGGTGGCTGAATTTTGAAACCTCCCTAAAAGATGGAAGCATGTCCATCGCACCCTTGTGAGCTGGGCCAATCTTAGCCACCACAATTGGCATCACAGATCGCCAAAGCCAACGACAGTAGCAGCGCAAAGGAGATTGAGAGTGGTAGGTGATGCGAAGGCTACGATGAAGAATGTGCGTCATCCGAGAGCGCAAGCTGCAATGTCGCATGTTGGAGTTGTGCATGGCAGATGGACGAGCTACCAAACACTAGGGTGATAGGGATTTTGATAAAGGGGTCGGTGATGCTAGGGGTGGTGACGGATGGGATTTTGACCATCAGAATTGGTCAAAATTTGGCTTGAAAAGGTCGCACCCTAAGCCTAGCAGCGCCTAGTGATTGGTGGGAACAATTAGGTGGAGATCATGGGGTTTTGGTGTAAGGAGGACAAAGATGCAGGTGGTGGTGTCAAGGGAGGCCAACGACTCCAAAATCAGGCCAAATCGGGCCTGAGACGAGAGTCGGACAACCGAGAAAAAGTCGGGCCTAAGGGTATTTGTGAGAGAAATTTGAGATGCAGAGGGTTATTTGAAATTTTTATTTTAATTTTAAATTTAATGAGGTATAAATTACTAATTTACCATTTGATCATTATATTATACGATTTTTTATTAATTTAAATTTAGGAATCTAAATTTTATGAAACCAGGGGTAGGAACTGCCATTTCGTAAAACCTTTGGTGGGAACATGTCGTTTACTTATCAGTAATACTATACTTATAAACTTTTTTTACTAATTTTCTTTTGTAAATGTGACGTGTTAACTTATAATGGGTCTTACTTGTCCAACAATAGATTCCGTCTGATTAAATATGAATTAATAATTACGAACTATCACATCAATATTTGTGAGAGAAAAGTGTGAGAATGTGTTTTTTTATCATAACTCCGATGGTATACTATTTCCTCTGCCGACATAAATACTTTACTCAATAAATATAGGTAACGTTACCACAGTATCCTTCTCTCGAAAATATCCATACCACAACAATGGGCCGGATCATTCATATGAAAACCGGGTTTTTCCTTATTTGAGTCTGCCCCTTTCGTTTCATCGCGCCACTTCACTGGAACACTGAACCTAACGGTTCGCAATCGCAGCTGCTCTGCTTCACCTGGCCTTGGGCGCTCGGCCAGCTTCTAATGCTTGATCAAAAAAACAATTTCACATCACGTCAGGTATTTTGTTTTTTTTATTTTCTCGTTTTTGGGTCCGAAATTTACAGCTTTTGTCTGGTTTAACTCATAGAAACTCTAACGGCCTAATTAATGAAATAGGGTTTATCAGCAGTATCACTGTTTTGCAAATTTTGAAATGGAGTATTTATTATCTGAGAAGTATAGCACTTATTGCTTTTTAGATTTAAGGTTTACTTAATTTTTCCCGTTTAACGCCTCTTTTAAATGTTGATTGTTATTTGGTGCAGTTTTGTTTAGCAATGGATTTAGCTTTAACAGTAGTAAAGCACATTGCCATTTTCTTAGCATTAGTTGTTAAATCTATTATGCAGAAGATAATAAACATATTCTGAATTCTGGGTGAAGTGCCTGTATAAATCATAGTGTTTCCATGTTTTTTTATTGATGCCAAGTTAGAGCACATGATGGTTTACACTTGATCTCTGAACTTCAGGTAAGTTCACTTGTTGAGAAGTTTATGTGCTGATGCTTTTTCTTTGCATCTTTTGTGGAATAGTCGTGGTTATTTTGCACCTTTTGTGTGATATGTCCTGTGATTTGCTTGGTATTATTTTCTTGTGTGTGTCATTTATGTGAAGATATGAAAAGAATGCCGAATGCTAAGTGAATTAAGTTGCTTATTTAATCATTATCTTTATATGGGGTCTACCTTTCTTTGTTGGTGCAAACTAGAGCACATGATGGTTTACACTTGATCCTGAACTTCAGGTAAGTTCAATTGTTGAGAAGCTTATGTGCTGATGCTCTTTTTCTGCACCTTTTATCTGAATAATTCATATGTTCCTGTATTTAATCATACTTTTACATTCCTTTCAGGAATAGATTTAAATAGAAGCTAAGAGACATGGAATAAAGGAGATTTATTGTTGGGATGAGTAGCGGAAGAGAGGTTTGTGAATTTAATGTTCAAATTTTCAATTCTTTATAAATAGAGAGAGTTAGAGTAAAGCTGCTATTGCTTAGCAACTTCCACTTTTCCAACGAGAAGAGATTAGGAGAAGAGAACCCTCACAGTCCCTCCCAATTCGCATGCCTGAAAACACCTTTTTTTTTTTTTTAAGTATCTTTATACCGTCTAAAAGTGCAATTTCCTCTCTCCTCTTTTTCCTATTTTAATCATTCTCATAAGCAACTTAGTTTCACTCAACTTTCCTTGTTTGATGCAACCATCTATTGTTTTTTTTCACTATGTTTTGCTAGTTGAAGGATTATTCATTTTGAAACAACCAATGGTTTAAGTTTCTACAAAAATCCATAAAATTGATTTTAAGTATTTTAAGCTGATCATTTTTTTTCCATTTATCGTTTCTTAATTTGAGATAATGGCAGGGGGAATGATTAAAGAAGACTAACACGAGTTAGTCACTGGCTTGATAGTCTTCAGCCCTCCCACATCATTTTGTTTTTGTGTTGTTCACTCATCATTTGCTTCATCTCTTTTCCTTTGTTAACAATAATGGCCCACCTGCAATGTTGAGCGAGGTGATGAATGGTAGACCAAATGTTCGATGAAAGTAGTGTTAGACTCTCAAATACAATATAGTCCAAATTTGAAAATATGCAACACCAGTAAAATTTCAGTTTATGGTTCATTCAATTGAAGAGAATGAATTGTATGTTCTCATCCATAAGTTTGTATTCCATGGTGCTGGCTGATACAAAATTCCGAAGTAGAAGTGTAACTTTGATGGCACAGTAAGAAAAGAACTCATCACAAGAAAGTACCAAAGAATTTGCCACTCGCGGGCGCCCAAACTCCCCCCTGACTTTGGGGTTAACTTGTTTTTAAAGAAACCAAGCACTGACACTGGCCTATCTCACACATACTTTGATTTGACGAGGAAGATAAAGGAGGAGGAGATGAAAGTGAAGATGATGACAAGACAACGATACTGTTTGGGAATCAGAAGAGCTTGAAGCTATATCGTCTCTATTTCAGGGAAGATTCCCCAAAAACCTGGAATGTTATTTAGAGAAAGGCCTCTGCCATCCACTTCCTCACAAATTAAGGCCGCTCAAACTTCCCATGTCAAAGAAGATGTTACCTAGCTGCTCCAAAGATAGCCTCTTCACGTGCATCTATATGTAAGCAAGTGTACAAGAACCCAAATTTCCTCATCAGTTTAGCTAGGGAGATCAAAGCCTTACTTCAAATGAGGCGTGTCTGGGTTCTTGACAAATGTGCTAGATTCTTGCGGAAAGGGTCATTGTCGTTAACAATTAGAGAATGGGTCCATGGAGCTTCCTGAGAGAGCTTTGCAGACTTTCTGTTGGGTTCAGACAGCCTCATTTTCCCAGATGATGGGTTTTGGCTCCACAGTTGAGGTCTTGGCAAGGCACCATGAATTGAAAGTGCCACTTGATTTAGAGAAGTTCACTAGCTTGGCTACGGAGTGTGTTGGAGGCAATGGTGAGGGGTTTTATTGGAGGTGGAAATTTGAAGCTTGGTGGAAGCTTCTCTGGCTGCCAGGGATTGTAAAAGAATGCTGGATCCAAGATTTATGTGAAGTTGATATTGGAGGTTGGTAAAAATCCAGATAAATACATGCTTGTCAGACCTTACTAGATGAGCTTGGACAAGAGATGATTTTAAGTTAAGCCAGCAAGACTGTACGGCTATCATAAAGTTGGGGTAAGGCTACATAAATTTGATGTT